TCGGCAATCCTCTCCCAACGTTGAACCAATTTACGGATGCCTGATTCATAGAAATCGCGTGGTTTTTCGTTGAAAAAGGTGTCAAGGTGGTTTTTGACGTCTTCTACTTTTTTAAATTTTTTTCCATTCAAATTGTTTTGCAGCGATCGAAACAAATGATAATCAGAAGGTGCAATGTCGGGTGAATATGGGGGATGCGGCATGGTTTCCCAATTCATCTCCTTCAGTTTTCAGGGTCGGTTTTGCAACATGTGGCCTGGCCCCATTTATCGAGCTTCAAAGTGTACCCAACCCTTTTTAAACGACGAAACGGAGTTGATTTGTTGACGTTCAATTCACTCTCAACCTCTTCCGTCGAAATACGTGAGTTATTCGCAACTAAAGTCCTTAGAACATCGTCATCAAGCTAAGAAGGCCGTCCACTGCGAGGTTGATCTTCGAGGTTAAAATCTCCAGAACGAAATTTCGCGAACCATTTCTTTACTGTGCGGAGTGCTGGAGCACGGTCCAAATAAACTTCACGAATATCTTTAGTTGCAGCGCCTACTGTTTTTTCTTTGCGGAATTCGTATAACATAATATGACGCATGCTTGATTTACAGTTCGGACTGTCACCTTTCCAACGATATATAATATGTATATATTTCTTTCACGAGCGCCACTTTCAAACCATTCGAACAGCATCCAGCGGAATCGGGCACGAACCTATGCACTCATCCAATATATTGTCATTCCAAAAAAAAATTTTTAAATAATATCAAGCTTTCCTTTTGAAAGCAATACCATGCAACGCAAATTCCCTTAGAATTCGCAATAAATTGTGATACGCTGAAATATTGCCTACATTTAGGCGCCATGATAAAAGAGGCATATGGATGGATATTTTCCAAAAAAAAAATATATTTTAAAAGCGTTTTATTTACGTTTATTTTCGAAACTGCAAAATGGGTAAAAAAATAAAAGCAATAAAAATATTTCATCTACTGATAATATTGTATAAATATTTTGAAAATATATTTAATTTAATATTTGATAATAAAAAAAAAACCAAAAACCTGCGATTTTCTTCCCTTACTCTAAGATGCACATTTGTTTGCTTTTGCAACTTAACCTTGAACATTCATACAAGAAACTTACTACATACATATACGAGTAGGTGTAGTATAATGCCGATCTGTATACATATACACATAAGCCAACGCCAACCCACTCAAACATAAACAATAGACGACACTGCACAACAACACACTTGAACGCATCGATGAATTTCTGAGCATGTCCTTAAGCCATAATGGTTTTGTGGCGACTTTGACTTTAGAGCTAAGCTTAATATGGTGGCGCCAGCGAGAGCAGCAGCAAGGACATTGAATTTAACAAAAACAAGACGCAACGCAAGATAACAATGACTGCACGTACAGTTGAAAGTATGTATGTATGTAAGTAGAAATGTGTGTGTGTGTGGAGCATCATAGTGGTATGCTCCTTCTTAATCGTGTTTGTACTTGATGACATCGCCAATAGGTTTACTGAAATGCTTTTATGTACACATGTATGTACGTATTATTCAGATGCTTATAACACATATTTTGTTTTCTAAGTGATATAGGATGAGTAAGATACCATATTATTATTAACGCTTGTAAATTAATTTTATTGCTGAGTCATCAGTAGGTAGGTTTTCCAGCAACAAAATATTAAAGAGTTTTTCATTTTTTACATTTTATTTAAACTCTGAATACAAAAACTAACAACCTTAGATGTAGAATATTATGAAATATTAAAAAAAAAATTCTTTTGTATGTTAGTTACCAACTCAGCCAGTTCAACCTAACCTAGTACCAACTCATATAGCAGTGAATGCAACAAATCTTATAGATGACGTATTGTGCCTTTATTTAACATTTTAGGTTCCTCTTAAAGCCACTGAACTCAAACATTTTCTATGAGAATTGTTTTAGGTTGGCCACTGGGAGGATATCCGTTAACTGAAATCGCCATTTTTAATACTACAACATAGAGAGAGATGATCCCATCATAATGTTATACAGTTGCGGTCAAAATCTTAGTAGTGATTTTGCTAATTAAATATAAGTCATCATAAATTTTCACTTTCACTGTAAATACCGTTAGGTTAAGGCGCCGACATGACGATATACATTGGTTTGTTAAGCTAGAATTATTGTTGTTATTGCAATCGGCTAAATTTTGAGGAAAAATGTGTTTTTGATCAGTACAATTCTTAGTAGTGCAATGAAGAATATTTCAAAAAAATTATTTTGGGACTAAAAAATTAAATATACGGTAAGAAGTATTTCCACTATGGTCCGAAACGCTATAAAATACAACCGGGTGTCGAGAAACGAGCGCGGAAACGTGTAATGCCCACTCAATTGGTTAAGTCTGCTGTAAAATATTTAAAGCAATATCCGTTGCGGCTGCCACCGAACAAAAAAAATCTGTAAATGTGAAAGAAAAAAGTTGAAATTCTCCGCCGACGCTTACAGGAAAACGATCTGTCAGCTCGGAGCCCCAGAAAAGTGCCTTTGCTGACTAAACAACATATGGTCAAACGATTACGTTTCGCCAAAGACCATTTGACTTGGCCTTTGACCAAATGGCGTAACATTTTATAGTCTGAGGAGTCCAAAATTGTTCGCTATGGTGCAAAACGTTCAAGAAGGTCATGCTCCCATATGATAGCGAGGAAATGCCACTGATTTGGACCATTCAACAGGACAACGAACCAAAGCACACTATCAAGCTTGCACAGAAGTGGTATGGAGACAACCGAGTAAATGTTATGGAGTGGCCTCCACAGTCTCCTGACATTTTTTTTATAACCAAGGGACTCCAGTTTTTTTAATTAGTTTTAAATAGTCTTTTAATTACTAAAAAAATAAAAATTAAACTGGTTTGGTAAGTAACTGCATAATTTTATTTTTTCAACCGAATTTAGTGCTTGTCCGCGCTACTAAAATTATGACCGCAGCTGTATATTTTCTAAAACAAAAATCATTTTACATTCGTCGGAAAATTAAGGAATTTGTTCTAGAAAACAAACTATCCATGTATTTTAGTCATAGATGATTACTTTCTCGCCTACGCGGTTCACACAACTGGACTAACAACGTAGTAGAGTTAATCTCTCCATTTCCCTATAGCGATCATTTGCACCACTAGAATTTTTCTTTGGCTAGGGAATGAGTTTTAAAAAGATGAATTGAGCTGTAAATAAATAATTGCTGGTAGACTTCTGACAAGATCTTTAAATTACAACGAAATTCAGACCTCCAGATAACTAGCGAACTAGGCAGGAAAGTAAGTGATGGAATCACCTCTTTGTATCTGACGAGGCCGTCAAACGTACAGCAGTCATAAAGTCGTAACTTTAGTACCGATCTGAGTTGAGTTATCATGAATATCTCGCCTTTATAAACCGACGAAAAAGAAGGTTCACAATTCAACGTGAATATATATTTTTAATGTTTTACTACGCCTTAGTTTTTACTACAGAGTACACTAAACTCGAATGGGTAAAGCTTGATGTTGCTCGCTCCAAAACTAGAAAACAAAATTTGAACCGAATTTCTTGTATTTTAAAAACCTAACACTTTAATCCTTCCAACTGTCAGTTGAGAATGCCTTAAAAAGTTCGAAACGATACAATCACAATAGACAGCCGAGTAGTATTCTACTCGTCGAAAAGCTTGACAATCTCGCTGACAGGGGTAATACTCGAAAATTCTATGAAAAATGCAGTGACTTACAGACACGTAGTACACTCTTGGAGGACCCAGAGCGGCGATCCAGTGCTTTTCGCACAGAGTATACTGAATATATGGAAGAAACACTTCTCTAGCCTGCTGAATGGCAGTGAAAATGGTAGACCCGGAGATGGTGAAACTGAAATCTCCATCAGTTACAATGGAAAAGACGTTCCATTACCCGACTATGACGAGGTTTGAATATCGATTACCCATCTAAAGAACAAAAAAGCGGCTAGAACCTTTTAAATACCACATATAAGATCATATCGGACGTATTGTATGGAAGACTAAAGCCAACAACGTCAACAGACTTTTGATCAATGTGACTTTAGACCGGGTAAATCCACCATTGACCAGATATTCACCATGCACCTAATCATGGAAAAGACTCGTGAAAAAAGAATCGATACACATCATCGTTTTTAAAGCTACCTTTGAGAGCAAAGAGCTGCCTTTACACCGCGGGGGACAACCAAAAGTAATAGAAAATTAATTAAAATAAAAAATAAGTTAAATTTTATAATTGCGGTCGCACCTTGACAGGGAACGCCAACCTCTCCGAGTGTATTTTTGACATGAAATGAAGCTCCTCATGAAAAAAAACCACCACCTGTTCATAGGCGGCTTATTATAAACTGTAGGTCTATCCATTTGTTGGAAAAAAACCAAGACGCAAAACCATAAATCGGCGGAGGGACACGGCTTCCACCCGCTGGTGGACCCCCACTTCGTTAGAAGGATCAGGGAGAGAGCGACTTGGTTTCTCTTTGTACTTCCAACTGGCGCCAAACCGCGAAAGGCTATAGAAACGTTATCGGTGCCTACGTCAATGCTGAAGAATAAGAAGAAGAAAATTTAACAAGCCCCATCGTTTTATAATGGCAACCCTTGTTTTCGAAGCGACGATTCCTCTTTAAATCCAATTACTAAAACAATGTAAAAGCGATTTCTGATTACTTTTACTATTTCTTATCAAAAAAAGGTCGTTACTCGTTAGAGGAAAGAATAATATTTTAAAAATTACTTAAGACGATAACTATTTTTACCGTAAATAATGAAAACGTAATGTTTCTACTTACGGAAAAAAATTTCAAAATAGTCTTATATAATACGTCGATTGGGTAAGTGCAGTAATTAGTTTTTAATGAGTTACCGGTAGTAAGTAATTGCCGTAACAGCGCGTATAAAAAGCGCAGAAAAATTAGTGAAGACCTTAGCTTATATACAAAGCCGGCGTGATAAGCATGGCTATTTCCAAAAGACTTCTACTCAACCTTATAATAGTGGCGATATGCTGCTGTTGCACCGTTATCAGTCGCACCGTGCCTGAGGGTCGCATCTATGGCGGTCAGAATGCGCGTGAAGGACAATTTCCCTACCAAGTAATGGTGACACGCTCACGCAATGGTTATCTCACGGTCTGTGGTGGTGCTATCATCTCGAGAAATTATGTGCTTACAGCTGCGCATTGCATAGATAGGTAAATGTCTCGAGTATTAATATTTTCATTTCAAAAATCTTTACTTTAATACTCCGTTTCATCTACCAATTTATAGAGACTCGGTAGCAACAGAATATTCGGTGCGTGCCGGCACTGTGAAGTTTAACGCGGGCGGTGTAGGGCGTCAAGTGGCGGAGGTGAAAATACATCCTCAATATCAATCATTTGACTATGACGTTGCTTTACTGCGTTTAAGTAGGCCATTGGACTTTAATGATAAAATTAAATCGATTCCGCTTGCTAAGAAAGATGTTCCCGTGAACACACCAACCATAGTAAGCGGCTGGGGTGGTATTGCGTCGGGTGGTCTTGCCAATACCTTACAGTACAACACATTGTATACCTTGAGCCATAGAGTGTGCGTCCAGCGTTTGAATACAATTGCGAACTCAATGCGTTGCCTCGGCAAGAGTGCAGGTAATGGTATTTGTGGTGGCGATTCTGGTGGTCCAGCAGTTGCCAAAGGTACTCTAATCGGTATATCGTCTTTCATTGTTAACGGTTGCGCTAGTAGTCTCCCGAATGGTTTTTCTGATGTGGTATATACAAGAGATTGGATTCGGAAGAATTCAGATGCACCTTAAATGACTTGAACCCAACGAGATACTATTGTACGAGTAAATTAAAATCTTAATATCAGCTTATAAAAATTTTACTTTTATTTGTTGACAAAAAAAAACTAACAAAAATAGTTGATTCGAACATGGCATCACTCTTCCCAACAGTTTTTCAATAGCTTCTCAATAGTAACTCAACAGCAAAGTATAAATTTGATAATCTAATAACCAAAAAACGATTAATTGTTAAACTTCAGTCCTTCTTTGTTGTACCATTTGCTCACCAGATATGAAAGTAAGGCCAATTACTTGGCGAGTAAATAAGTAACGAGTATAAAGAAAATGTTGAGAAATGCAATGCCAAGGCTTTTAAATAATCATAAGTGATTTTATTTAGATCTACTGAACTGATTATGCAGTGATGGTTTGAGCAAAGCTGGAAGTTAAAAATTATATTAGAAAATGTCGAACACCAAAGGTGTATTTAAGATTTTCCTAAATAAAATTTTGAGATTAGTAAGAGAATTAAGAAGGTCTATAGCTCTTCGTCTTTATTCTTTATTGGTGTAGGCGCCGCTTACGCAATTATAGTCGAGCTATTCTTCGAGCGTTTCTTCCTTTGCAATTAGAGACACCAAGTGTAGCCATATCTTTCTCCACCTGATTTTACCTACGAGTACATAGTCGATGCATTCTTTTGCTTCGGCCAGTGATACTGAATGGACTGTTTTCAATGTTGCAGTGCTTTCATACATTCAGACAAAATGGCATTAAACTTTTTTTTTCGAAAACTCTATGCGCACTCAACACAGGTTGCCATCGTGGTGAGTTCTTTGCCGAACCACACGCATCTTTTACTATTATGTATTATGTTTCGCGGCCATAACACTCTAGGGGTTAGCATTGCGTATTGTCATTCTAAAGACCAGGGACCAGGACTCAACCCTGGTTCGACCAACGTCCGAGAGTATTTCTCACATGAAATAAAAGCATCTTATAAAAATCCATTGGCTGCGCGCAGGCGGCTTAGAATAAACTGTAGGCTCCTACATTTGTTGGAAAATCTCAAGCCGCAAGCCACCAATTGAAAGAAGTGTTCGGCCGAAAATCGCTTCAGTGGGTATAAAGCGCGTTCAGGCACAGTGAAATCGATGAAGTGGTGGTGTGTGCTGATCTTCTTCTTAGCGAGGGCTGTTTGCAAGGCTTAGCGCAAGGCCAATTGAAGATTTGCCAGTTCTGAGCCGTACTGAGCAAAACCAACTAGTTTATGGTTATTAAGTCTCTCACGCCATAAGTCATAAACGATCATATATGCAAAACTGAGAAGCTTATTCTACGATAATTTTCCTAGACTTCTTATATTCCCAACGTCAGGCATATACTCATTCCAACAAATTTTGTACAATATCTGAATAGCTCAGCCATTATCTCTTACTGCTTTGCTCTTCTTCAGGGAGAGGCAATTACTATTCCGCCTTCATCATAGTCGTGTAATGGAATGTCCAACGTCATTGATTGGGGATTCAAGCTCTTCCCAATTTTCTGCAAATGCGTGTCGCTTTCGTCTTCAACGCTCGGTTCAGCACAACAGTTCTCATTATACCAGCTCATTTTCTGGACCGCTTCGAAGACAAATAGTTTTGTTGGCGGCTCTATGAAGGGAGTTTGATATGCAATCCCACAATTCTCTTACAGATCTGAAGCATTGAAGACATATCTACCCTCTAGTCTACAACAGGGCCGATTTCGTTTCGAGTGCCAAACAAGTGGCTTGATGTTGTTTTAAGGTCAGCACCTGATATCGCACACAACCATATTTCAGACAGCTTATAATTCCCTGCGTCCCGACGTGGGCACTGACTTTTTCTATTGCGGCGCTAAAGTTACCATCGCCATAGTGAAGCGTTAAAGAAGCCAAGCATGATGAAGTGACGGCGACAGCGCTCTTTTGTGTTTTCGCAGAAAGTATACTTGATCACATCGCACATCTCTTCCGCTGAGGGGTGTGGGCGCAAGCCAGTGGTCTGTTGCAGAAATTTAACTATTTCATGTTTAGACAGGATACCAATTGTTGAAGAAGCTAACGCGATCAGCTAAGTTGGGTATAAAATAAAATTTCATATCATTGAGAAATAATATCTCCATTGCTTAATCGTCAAGGCAACTTTACACTGTCAGGATTTGTATTACAAAAAAACTAATAAATTAGAAATACCAAAAACTTTTGCCACTTACCATCATTAGTCTAAACTTGTAAACTTCAATTTTGCAACTCGCAAGGACACTCTATCATATATCAAGGGAAACTTACATTGGAGTGAATATACATACATACATCCACATATACTACCAAGTGGGACTAGCGAATTCAGCGAAACTAATTTACACATAGCATACTTCTGGGTGTTACATACATACAAGGAAAGTATTTTAAATTAATAATGAAATTAAATGCAGAAAGTCAAAAACTCTGACACTTCACCAAGTTCCACATACACACACACACACACACACACACACACACACACACACACACACACACACACACACACACACACACACACGCACAAATATACCTCAATGCTGAATAAGCTATTTAACGTCTTAAATAAAGTACTTATTACTATACTCGTATGTACTCATACCTAAATATATAGTGTATGTGAATGTAAGCACCCGCACCTTTCAGCAATAAGTGCCACATAAACACTCACGCCATATGCTTTGACTTGGCGGTGGAACCACATAATGTGTTTGTGAAATGATGAAATGTGATATTACACTTCAGTCGACGTAGCAATTTAAGGATTTCCTTTCGTACTGAAACATATCACGTAGTGTGTATGTGCACCCGCCATAAATTACACTCATACATACATCTCAGTCGTTTTAAAAGGCACTTCAAACTTTTTTTGCCATACGGCGCGCGGTGGTGCGTAATAAGTGAATACGTGGGTAACTAATAATATTTTATACCAGCGATTGCTCGCTGTATATATGGAATCGTATTTTGGCGTCTGTCAAACTTAAATGTCAAACCAAACATGTTTCGTTTTAGTTAAAAGTAAGAAATTTCTGAAAATGTATCGCTTAAAAACAACACAACGCGCTAAAATTGTGAAAATCTGCGACAAAAATGATGATTTTTTTCATGCTTCAAGGGGAGATTGTGGCGACATAATCATTCTACTGCTCAGGCAACGATGTTAACATTCCGTTCATTTTTTAAAATGGTTTGGATATGAAATGTGAGGTTTCCACGTGAGACTTATTTCAAAATCACGATGTTTTCGAATTTTTAGCGAAAAACATTTGCAACGATGCCCAAAGCTTCGAATTCGTCACACACAGCTCCGTGTGGCATTAAAAGGGCATCGCTGAAAATATTTAAGACGATCTCAAAGGTCGAGTTTTAGAAGAGTTTCGGGGATTGGAACTGGAAGAAGTGCTTTATCTCAAGTGGGGATTATTGCGAGGGCAACCACATCTATGTAGCCGAATCAATAAATATTCCTTTCAAAATATTGAGAATACGTTCCCAAAGTGCAATAAAAAATTGTAACTCGAACTGCGTACAACCTTCCCCCCCCTTTCCCTCTACCAAACTCTTTCGCTCTATCTCACTCTCTCTCCCCCCCTTTCCCTCTACCAAACTCTTTCGCTCTATCTCACTCTCTCTATCTCTCTCTCTCGGTCTTTCACACTTTTTTTCTCACTTTGACTCTCTCTCACTATTTCTCGCTCTTACTCTTTTTACCTCTATTTCACTTTCTCTCTCCCTTTCCCTCTACCGAACTCATTCGCTCTATCTCACTCTCTCTATCTCTCTCTCTCGTTCTTTCACACTTTTTTTCTCACTTTGACTCTCTCTCACTATTTCTCGCTCTTACTCTTTTTACCTCTATTTCACTTTCTCTCTCCCTTTCCCTCTACCGAACTCATTCCCTCTATCTGGCTCTTCCCCTCGATCTAACTCATTCCCTCCATCTAACTCTTTCTCTCCATCTCACTTTTTCCCTCATCTCAGTAACTCTTTCACTCTTTCTTTCTCTCACTTTGACTCTCTCGCACTGATTCTCTCTCTCCTTTTCTATCTCTATCTCACACTCTCTCCCCCTTTCCCACCTAGCTATTTAACTATTTTCTCTCTCTCACTCTTTTCTTCTCTCTCATTTTTTTTCTCTCACTCTCTTCCTCTCTCTTATTTTTCAGTATTTTTCCCTCTTTCTTTCTCTCACTTTACCTCTCTGGCACTCTCTCTTACTCTTTTTACCTCTCTCTCACTCTCTCTCTCCCTTTCCCTCTGCCTAACTCTTTACTACTCTATTCCTCCCTTTCACTCTTTTCCTCTCCCTTTTTCTCTATCTCTTTTATTACCACTCTCACTTGTTTATCTTTCACTTATTCTCTCCCTCACTCTCATTTTCTCTCTCTCTCTCTCTCTCTCTCGCTTGACGTCAAACTTTCCGCAAGAAGCATTGTGAAGCCGTTGACAGCACTGTTACCCAAACCTAATATGTATACAGTAACCCGCTTATGCCAGCATGTAGTATACTTTCAGGCGTCCATTCATGGAATCATTTACGTAAATAAGTGTAATGCTTGTGTGTACATACCATATTTTACGGCCATACACTTTTTAATAGCCACACATAAGCAGCAACAGAAAAAAGGCCAACATGCAACATGTGAGCGACGCGCGTACACGCTACGCTCAATTGAGGATGTGTTGTAGCTGTGTTTACGCAACTGAAAAAGTTACAATGTCCAATTGTGAGCAAGTTTGTATGCGTGCTCGTATATATTGGCGCTAATTTAACAAATTACAAATGTAAACTTTTTAATATCCCATACGTGAATGTATGTATGTGTAGCAATAAAGGCGACCATAAATATGCAAATGATACTATGACGGTAAATTGATGACACCGCCTCCCACACTAAACAAAGTTCGTGAGCTATAAACGTTTTATCCACTTATAAAAACATACATGTGTGTGTGTGTAATGTACGACTGTGTGTATGTAAGCAGTTAAAGTTATAACTACAAGGAAAAGTATGAACTGCACTCAAAGTAAATATTACTTTTTATATTTTATTTACAAAGCTCCACGCGGCACCATTACATCCCTCGCATAATTGCAGTTGCGCTTTGCTGTCAAGGGATAACGTGAGATTGATGTTTGCAAATAAAATATTGCACAAGTCTGCTTTTCGTTTTTTTTTTTATTTTTTGTATCTTTTAACCAAATAATTTTTAAGCATTTTGTTTGAAAAACTGAAGGTTACTATCGGGTTTATTTATAGTGCGGTAGGCAGGGTGGTAAGCGCTGCGCTCTTTAGCAGCACTCGAATTCAGCATTCTCATTCCCCACTAGTGAAGCCTTCAGCTAGTCTACACAGTTCCCTGCAGAATTTTCGAGCATTTCTCCGGCTGGATCTCAAATTTTTCGTGTAATTACATAATGAAAAAACTTACCGTTTACCCTGCGCGCATAAAAAAGTATCGAATAAATCCGTACGAA